TAATTTATTATTTATTTTTTCATTAAATTACTTTTTTATTATAAAGATTGAACCTTGACATAATTTGTGGAATATTAGATGATGCGTCTCGCGAAAGCTTGCAAAACTTCGATGTCTTTCAGTAGATCGACCATTTTTCGGCACTTATTGGAAGGTATCTCAGCCATAATATAACGAATGTTGGTTTTCAAGTGCTCAAAAGTTAATCCTCATTAACTCGGAAACAAACTCCAACGGTGCCAAATCACATGTTAACCGTGATCAATTGACATCGTCAAGACGAGAGAAATTTCTCACGCAATAAAGTCATATTCTCTGGTGCTGTGTGGTATGCGGCAACATTTTGTTGAAATCATATATTGTCCAATTCAATTGCAGGCAGATTATAATCGGTTCTCATACGACCAAAGTGCTTAGAACTCACACCTACAAGTGAATAAGCAAGGGCCCATCCCACCTAAGGATTAAAGAGCGCCTCAGAGAGTAAGGTTTTTGGGTTTAATGGCTATTTCTTTAACTATTTGAGGATTCTCGGAACGCCAAATGTCACAATTTTGCTTATTCACGTACTAACCGAGTAAGAAATGTGTCTCGTCACTGCAAAAAATTTTGTTAGAAAAATCTGCATCCACTGCTTGTTATTCAAGTGCCTACTCCACGTATGGAGGATGTCGCTAATGGTCAGCTTTTGTGTGAACTGGACTTTATATGGATGTAGTTTTAATGGATACGCCATAAAGTGCCGTAAGAAAGTCCCAGCTCTGGACAACGTCGAGACATAGATGAATTCGAACGAACAGAACGACGATGGACAGACCTTAAAATATCTGTAACTGGTGCAGTCGTTCAAATTTCTTAAAAATATTATCCACTACTTGAGTAGTTGGCCGATTATGTGTACCATAATCTCTTCTTTTGGCGCGAATCACTATTTTTGTAGTAGGTCTTAACGATTTTAACGCGTTGTGTGGTTGTTAAGCGATCCGTTTTCATAAGTGCTTGACTTTTAACGAAAACAAAAAATTATTTTGCTTGACAGTTAAGTTTGATGGGTGTTAAAATACAGCCCTGTTTGAATCTACGAATTGGATAACCCTATACAATTAAAAATTCATACAAAAGTGTATATAATTAGATAAAATACAAAACAAATCGGAATTTCCCAAACTAAACGTATTCAACTTTGATCTATTACGGTTATTTTCCATTTAGTCATATAAATATATTTAAGCTAAGACTAATGGAGGTTCAAGCTCTCACTTTCGCGGCTTTTGTTTGTTTTCATTAAATATCGAACTCGAGTAAGTCTAGCATATGCACTATATTTAAGTCAGACATACATACATACATACATATGTGGAAGACTTGTAAGATATTTTGTTGCAAAGGAAAAACGTTTATTATACTAATAAAAATTAAAACAAAACTTCATTATTAGTCATCACAGGGAATTATCGTGTACTTACGTATGTACATATGTACATTGGAATAGGACTTTGAGTGTTATCTCGGTTTCAGTCTCCACTTGCGTCATAAGCATGAGCTTGGGTTTTTCTAAAACTATTTTTTCGCCATTTATTTATGTGTATGAATATTTGTACAATATTATATTATGCAAATATATAGCGCATTTGAGAGGGACTCACACACAATGAATACTTCAAGCTTAATGTTGATAACGTTTTGTGCGAGAGCGTCTATGTTTACTCATTTTCTTCTCTCCAACACAGCGCACCACAGCGGACACTGCATTCGATACTTTCAAAGCAAGATTGTTTGCGTTCATCCGAACGACGTCGTTTAGCCTGCATTGTCACACTAATACAACTCTTTGATAAACCCGAAGACTTCCAGAGCCAACTTTTCGGATGTTGTCAACGTCACTTCTACACCATAAACAAGAAGTGGTGTGCCAAACGACTTGAGCTGAGTTGATTGAATAGTCCCATTGTAATACCGCTGTGAGGCTCCTATCTTTTCAAGTGATAAAATCATTTCGTGTGCCTTATGAAGCTCAGCGAGACAGTAAGAGAAGTGTCTCCCGAGCAACTTGTGCCGTTCAGCTGTCAATGTTGGACAGTGACAGGGGTAGTGTTTAATGGACTCTTCCTTTTCTTCGTACTTGTTGCTACGGCAAAAAAGTTAGAGAAATATCCCATTCTTTTTCCGTAAAGCCTAATTAATCAGTTCTCTGTTATTACTCCTGTTGTTTTGCTAGTGGAGAACCGGTCTAGAAAGATAACATGTCTTGATCTTTTCTCGTACAATTTCGGTCATAGTGATCTCGTTTCGTTTCAAGTGATATCATTCAGTCGTCTAGTGTTTCCCTTTTCGACAAAGGCTAGTTTGAGTATATTCCTGCTCTATATGCATAGTTTATCGTGGAACAAGACATTCCCTCTCTCGAAAGTTAGCGTCTCCTATAATGCGATTTTTCTTAGAATGCAACACGGGATTCAGTTGCAGCTCGCTTGTTATTTGCCGTACAGGTTCAGACGAAGAAAGTTGGGGAGAGTTAGCAGCGCATTTGAGAGAGCCGATGGCAGTGTTCCTGACACGAGGATAGCTGCCTACGGTTGAACTCTCTCTAGTTTGGTCCTATTAGTAATTAGTTCGAATGCTGGCCATCAAGATTAATTTAATTACCGCTGTATAAATCCAATAACTACCTTTTGCTCCTTCATGAAAGTGATTTCATCGTGTGCCGGCCATAAGTATTTTGTGATCCTGTTGAAATTTTTGAACCTTAAGTCATAGACTAGCATTTATTATTCTAAACCACTTCATCTAGGCAAACGTTACTTAATTCAAAAGAAAGTTCTTAAAAGAAATCTTGCAGTCAATTTTAAAAGAAAGAATAGGACATAAGACTGAATTTAAATTAGACAATATTTGCTTAGAACGCCCATAATTATAATAATAAGATTAGAAAGTAAGTCTAGTAAGACTTCTGGCAAGCCTTAAGCTTTCCTGTCTTTCAATGATTCATTAAGAGTCAGACATGTTTAGAAATTTTACGTGCAGGAGGCCCATCAGTAAAAGGCCCATCAGTTAAAGCAGAAACGTAGGTAGCTCCTTTCGTAGCTTTGCCTTCGTTTCAACCGCCCTGATAGTAAGAAAAAAACAGCTAAGCAGGTTTACTCGCACACCAGGAATCATTTTATTTGCTTTACGGCGGCAAACATACGAGGAGTGTCAGCTAAGTTAAAGGTCTAAAGCACCTAATGTTAGTTATTTTTCTACAATATGTAGTAGCCAGGCTTGATAAAGAAGCGAAGCGAATGTGTCTGGTAGTGAACGAGAACAGGACGAAATATCTCCTGTCCACAAACAAAGAGTCATTGCATTCGAGACTTGGCTCCCATGTCAACTTTGAAGTAGTAGATAATTTCGTCTATCTAGGAACCAGCATTAATACCACTAATAACGTCAGCCTTGAAACCCAGCGCAGAATCACTCTTGCCAATAGATGCAACTTTGGACTGAGTAGGCAATTGAAAAGTAAAGTCCTCTCCAGACTAACGAAAACCAAACTCTACAAGTCCCTCATCATTCCCATCCCTCTATATGGTACGGAAGGATGGACGACGACAGCATCTGATGAAACGGGGCTAGGAGTTTTAAAGAGAAAGGTTCTTTCGTAAGATTTATGGTTCATATTCAAATGTTCACGCAAAATCTCTCCAGCTCATTACTTGCTAATCTATAATCCTGCTGCCAGTACTAATTTTTCGACATTCTGAACATTTGCTTCGATCACGACCATCCCGGACGGGGACTTCACGGGACTTTCTTCCTTGTTGAAACAGCCGAGTCTATTTTTTTACCATCGCACCATAAAGGTGCTAAGCTCTAAGGAACTAATGACATTTATTTGAAAATTTCTTTCGGCGTACTTCATTTTTTCACAAGGAATTTAAGCACATCGCGATGCTCCAAGTTTCGAAAATTCATACTTCTCGTCAGCATAGTGTTGTTGCTTGTTCAAGAAACGAAATGTTATTGTACCAAATAAAATAAGTTGTGTTATTTATACTAATAATGAGTCCCGCAAATAATATAATATTATAAGTAATACGATGATGTGTCAATTCTAACTACCTCGTATAAAAATGCGCTTTTAACTATAACACACTACAATATTAGGATCTGAGAGAGTGCGGACATTAAAATACTAAAGACATGCGGTCTCTTTCACATACAACTCTGCCGATTTAGTTTTGTGTTTCTTCAATTTCGAATCATGTTCTAGACGACAACCAACTAGGCCGTAATCAGTATTATTAGCACTCAATGTATTTCGAAAAATTAATTTTGTATAGTTTTGGATGTTGGTCGACCCAAGACTCGGTCGCCAATTGGTCGGTTATATTACCTTGCGATTGAATCAATTTTTGAAAAGAAATAAAAAATTATACTTGTCATTCTCACTACTAATTCTAGCTCAACTCATCTGCCTACAAATTCTGCAATGATCACAGATGGGGGCAGTGTTGCTTTAAACTAAACAAACTCTTTCATATATTTTAAAATTAATAGTAATGAATTTTTATTAACATTAACGATATGAAATTTTCGAAAGACTCCTCCTCCTCCTATTCTGCACCTTAATCATGAAACACATACACATTCGTTGAAACAGGCATATGTATATATGTATTTTTCGTTATTGCAATAACAAAAAGCCACATTAAATTTAAGCACCACCCATAAAATGGGCGGAAACCGCAAAGACGAGCGATGTAATCATGCACAAAACATATAAACACACATACACACACAAGCACACATGAGAGCACTGAAGAAAGTGCAAACTTATGAAACGAGAAAGATCCAATCAAATTCGATGTCCATCGCCAAGAAAATGACAAATCAGAAAGGAGAAGTGGACAGGCAATTTAGCCGACGCTTGAAAGTATATGCAATATATACAGGTATATGCTTATGTATATACATATGTATGTACATATGGATGAATATTTGTGGTGCCGATCACTTACCCGTTGATGATGTTGTTGGTGATGCAGATGTTGTTGCTGTTGTTGTTGCGTAACATTACGTGCCACCGCTACAGCCGCTGCCGCTGCTAATTGTCGTTGAAATGTCGGTGGCAACGCTGACAGGGGCGGTGGTGTAGGCGATGTTGTATGTGAATGTTGTGAATGTGGTGAGGAATGCGGTACAGCTGTGGTAGCTAAATATGGTGGACGCATCACCGCATGTTGTTGTTGTTGTTGTTGTTGTTGTTGTTGTGGTGACCGTTGTTGATGATCTTGTGCATTCAATTGTTGTTGTTGTTGCTGTACTCGCGGTGTTGTGTAATAGTAATCGTTGGCCGAGGGTGTTGTAGCGGTTGTGCTGAAGAAATGATGTTGTTGCTGCTGCTGCTGTTGTTGTCGTTGTGGTTGTTGCTGCTGTTGCTGTTGGTATTGAGGATGCGGTGTCACAGCCGCTTGTGGATAATTCACACAACCCTGTTGCTGTTGTAAGTATGCACCGGACAGCTGCTGCTGCTGCTGCTGCTGCTGTTGTGCACAATTGTTGTTACTATTATTGCTATTATTATTATGCAACAGTGAGTAATGTGTCCGATTCGTATCATTTATCCAATTGCTAATGCGCGCTTGCTGATGCTGATGCTGCTGTTGGTGTTGTTGTTGACCCTGTTGTTGCTGTATCAGTTGTTGTTGCTGTTGTTGTGCTTGTTGCAATTGCTGCACGTGTTGCTGCTGCAATAGCGCTGTAGTGACCGCATTGCCATTGCTGTGCCAGCTGCTACAAAGGTTTTTGTAAACACCACCATTGCTAGCACTGTTATTGTTATTATTATTGTTATGCATTTTATTTTATTTCTTGTAATATTAAGTTGGCTGATTTGAATATAAGTAGAATGATAAGTAAGTTTTAAAGCTTGTTGTGGCTATATTAATTTTTCCTAATTAATTTTATTTTTGTGTTATTTTATTTAACTTTTTTTAATTAAACTTTCTTTAATTTTTTGTTAACTTAATATTTTTTATTTTATTACAATTTTTTTGCAATTTTTAAATATTTTTATTTACTTTATTACATTATTTAAAAAAAAATACTTTTCTTTATTTTAATTTCTAATTTTTGTTTTTATAATTCTTATTTATTTGTCTCTTTATTTTATTTATTTTTTGTTATTTTATTTTTTATTTTACTTTATTAAACTTTCTATACTTTTTTTATTTTTCTTTATTTTATTTGTCATTTCTTTCATTTATTGTTTTTAATTTTTTACACTTTAATTTAGTTTTTCGTTAATTTCATTTGTTTTTTCTATATTTTTATTTAATCTATATTAAGCAGTATTAAATATTTTTATTTGTTGTTAATTATTTTTAGTAAAGTTTTATTTTACTGTTTATTAGTAGTTTAATAGTTTTATTTTTTTTATTTTTTTTTTTTTAAATTTATTTTCTATATCTTTTTATTTTATTTTATTTTATTTTGTCTTATATTTTTTCACTTAAATTATTATAAGTATTAAATATATTTTATTTTTTGTATTTATATTTAAGCTATATTAATTTTTTTATTTATTATAATTTTTTCCTTCTTTGGTTTTTCCTTTTTTTTGACTCTCTTGCGTCACTTTTCGAAGCTGTGGCGGACACTCCTTTTTCTGCCACATGCAACTCAAATGCTGCACAGCTGTTTGTTTCACCCACACAAAGCCCGCTCATACAATTCACTACACTTCACTTTTTGGCACAGTATTTATTTTTGTCGTTATTGTCGATATTTCTTGATTTTGTTTGTTTGTTCTTGTTTTTTTTTTTTTTGTACTTTTGCTTATTTGGTTATTTATTTTTTCTTGAGGCTGCAATTAATTTTCTGCCTGCTCCTTTATTCTCGCACTTATTTATTCTCTTCAAAATTTTTTCTTTACACTTTTCTCAATGTTGTTATTGTTATTGTATAGGAACGACCACCTGAGCGTTGCATGCAAACAAAAGGCTTGAAATATACATATGTATGTATGCATATATAATAATATTTATATGCATAAATATATATATATGTATGTTTATATGTTAAAATGTTACCCACACATATATATCACATTAATTTATAGTATGTTTTGGCCTTTGCCAAAAATGGTAGCGAATGTGACTTCTTTCGACTTCTTATTTTTATTTTCAGCCATTTTTTTACCCTTGCAATTTCGTAAAGCCGTAGAAAAAGTGCACACTGAACTGAAACACAAATTGTATCTGTTTGTTTTTGTTGTTGTTGTTGTTGTTTTTTCTACATTCGCAAAAAAGGCGCGTGCGTGCATTGATCTCCCCACAAAATTGCCAGTGCGACATTTGCTTTAGCGAGTAGCTGGTTGATTGCTTGCTTGCTCGAACGCGCTTGAGCGCACGAATGACGGGGTTGACGCGCGTTACCGATATGCCAACACGATCGCGACGGCGTATATGACGCTTAACAAGAAACGAAAATTATAGATTTCACAAATAAACGAAAAGCGGGAGAGTTAATCACACCCACATGCATAAATATATACATATACTTACACATGTGTGAGTATAGAATGTGCCTAAACCGCAACTCTGACAAAAAAAAAGAATTTGCTAATAAATATGTACATTCATTGTCAGGAGCCGAAATAAAAAAAGCCACTCGCTTGGCTTTATGCGTTTACAAAAACATAAATATTACGACAATTTTACTATAAACCCACCTACGAGCGCGTATGTTCGTTCACGTTCACTGAGTGATCGGCTAAATCCATGCCTTACTTCCTTCCTCACTGAAACACAGACAAAATTGAATTAAAATTCGAAATGGAAACTGAAATTTGATAAGCCTCTGGGACTGGACATAAACGTTGACGACGGCGACGGTGGTCGGCGGCCGGCGGCCGGATAATGGCGCCAGCTTCGCTTCGCGTCGCTGCAACGAATGTGTCGTGCTTGTCGCTACGCTACACCTTTGGCTGAACACGGACGACGCGACCATTGAAATTTAGTTGCGCTGCAGTTGTTAATGTACGGAGCCTTTGTATTATATATGATTGTATGTATGTATGGCACAGTAAGCAGCAACCACAGCTTGAAACGGATAGCCACAAGCGAGTTTCTTGTGCTAATTGTGTTGGCAGCGGGCGGTGGCGTTGCCGAAATGTGACGGTAGCAGTTAAAACAGTTTGCGTTTGTTGTTTTTTTTTAATATGGCTAAGTGAAGGTTAGAAGGTACATTTATTGGCAAAACTAACTTTTGGACTAAATGCCAATTGTCAACTTGAAACGTAAATATCATTTTGAAATTAATGTTTGTAGTCACAACTTGATTTCCTTTACAACAAGGAAAATCAGTAGCTACGACCATAATAACTGAGTTGCTTTGATTTAGGGCGACTCTTTTTCGGAAAAAAAACATGATGTACAAGTTGTACAAGAAGTTTATTTTAACAAGGAAGAGAGGCATTTGATGACGACCCGAAGCCGGGCAGAAGCATTGATGTGACCGCACCAGAAGTTATCAAAAAAATTGATGAAATTGTTCTCGAGGATGCTCGATTGAAAAGCACTGAATACTGTGCATTGAGGGTTCGCAAAAACCATTTTTAAAATCCTGCACGATCATCTTGGCAGGACTTAGGCAAGCGCGAGATGGGTGATGAAAATGCTTATGTCTCCAAAAGCATCCAAAATATTCACGTTCGTTGTCGAATTGTTACTAGAGTGGAATCTTGGTTTCCTCATTATAAAACGAAGTTGAAACCAGACTCCTTAAGTGGCCTAAAACACCATATCAGCTCCCAAGCAGTTCAAGGTGTCCCACTTAACTTGGAAACGTATGGTAAGTATCTTTTTGAACGCGTATGGAACATATTGATAAATTATAAAGATAAAGGTGTTTATATAACTGGAGAATACTGAATAAGAGAAGCCGTCCGTCTACAAAAGCCACGTTGCGTTGGCTGCCCTGCATAAGGTAGTATTCGATATTTTGCATCATCCACCATAAAGCCCAGAAGACAGTTTCTGCGTGTTTTGAAGATAAAGAGGAAATATTTCTTATGACGATAAAAAATAAATTAATTGAAGGATCTGAGAGATGGGTATGTTATCTTTGAGATGAGCATATGAAAAAGAAAAAATAATTTGGTTTTCTCATTTCTACCCTTTATTCCACACTCCGGACATATAAAAGCTCCCTCGGACATGAAACAAGTTGAAATGGCTAGCAACGAGATTCATCGATTTCGCTTGAGCTAGTAAGAGGTAGGCCTATTAGCTCAGAATGGCTACCGATAGATAGATAAATCCTGCAGAAAGAAAATCCCAGAATTTGGAAACTAACACTGCAAAGATCAGGACATTCGCATAGAAAATAAATAACGGAAGATTAAGTTCGCTTGAGGCCGAATATGGGAGGTTGGTCAGTCATTTTTAGTAAGATTTTATTCCAATTAAAAGTAGTATTCTTACCAACTTTGGTTAAGTTCTCTTGATTAACGCCTTAACTAATCGATGTCGAGTCAAGCAGGGGTGGAAAGTGAAAAGTCCAATTATCTATTTCATTGCAAGTGTTACTGTACATCATCATCTTCTTCTGACAACGACATTCTTTTCTGCTTTTTCGAAAATGTCCGAAGTAGTGTTAATTAAACATATTTGCGGGAAATTTTGATTTCCTATTTACATATGCTGAAAAGGTCAGCTGAGGTGAATTTTTATGTGAGTCTGTGCCAACCGAAAAGTTATACATTGAGTGATTTCGACTCTTCGAAAGCGGTAATTTGAGCATCGAAGACAAGGAGCCATCCGCCGTATTCTTTTGTCCTTGCTCCTTTTAACTATTGTGCAACAATTTGGCGATCACAGGTTAGGATCTTTTGAAGAATTCGAAGAATGGCTTGGATTGGATTGGATCGAGGGCAGGAAAGAGTCTTTTAAAGCTAATTTTCAAAAATTACCATAGAGATAAAAAGTAGTCGCTACCGATCGATAACTTTTTTATCTGTCGTATAAGTAAGATTGGGTTTCGCTATGGCGTTAGAAAGAATGACTTTCGTACTAAAAAGTTTTTATGACAGTTTTATGATTGGTTGATTCAGTTTTGCTTGAGCGTGCGTCAAAGATGGACAATAGCAAAGAGATAATATGCTATATTTTACAGTTTTTCTTCGCTAAGGGCGAAAATGCCCTTAAATATGAATATCATTTATGCTTCTGATACTGTAACACCCAATTGCGCGCAATATTGGTTTCATCGATTCCGTTCCAGCAATTTTGATATCAAAAATGACTGTCGGAAATGTCAATAAAATAATGGACATTGTCGAGTCCAACCATCATGTAAGCGCTGTTTCGTTTTCCCAAGAGATAAAAATTGTACAAAAAACCATTTGGAACCATTTAAATAAGGCTAGATACGAAAGGGAGATCGATGTATGAGTGTCGAACGAGTTAACGCAATAAATTTAATGGACCGAGTTTCCATCTGGGAATCGCTGCTGAGTCGCAACAAAATCGACCCACCTCTGAAGCGGTTTGTGACTGTTGATGAAAAGTGGCCAAGTCAGGATTGACGCGTAGGAAGGTTTTGCTGTGTATTTGGTGAAATTAGCAATGAAATGAGCTACTCCCATACGGCAAAACTCTGCACTGTCAGCAATTGGACCGCAATTGGCCAACAGGAAGACAACGCCATGGCTACACACATCAGGACAACGCCAGGTCACACACATCGATACTGACTCACCAAAAGCTCCGCGAGTTTACAATGGAAGTTCTTTTGCATCCACCTTGTAATCCGGACTAGACACCAAGTAATTACAATCTCTTCTTGTCCAAAGCGAACAATTTTGCTGGTGCCGGCCTCGCTTCAAGAGAGGCTTATGAAAATTTATTGCCACAACTTTTTGCCAATAGGAATCAAGGCATAGTGAAATTACTTTTAAAATGACAACAAGATATTGAACAAAACGGC